TCGAATGAAATCCAAGGGCCTTTTAGCTTTTTGAAGTTGAGGTTTTAGCAGCAAAAAAGATTCGAAAAAAACGCATTTCTTTGTTTGGAGCCGGAAGCTGCAGGGAGCCACGATGGTGTTGGCCAAAACACCTTGTGCCTTCCATTTTGTCATCACTTGTTAAATTATCTGGTGTTCTGGACGATCRCAATGTAGGATCTTTTTACAATGACAAAGGAGCATGACAGATGTGCATATATTAAGCGATGGTACATTTCCGGTCTTGATAAAGTCACGATTTCGATTTTTCTCAAAATTTTGGCTTTTCCAATCAAAAATTGCAAGAAGTTTCACAAACATATGAAAGATAAAAGTTTAAAATTACAAAATTAAAAAGAAAATTTTTTTTCGGGCAATTCGTCATTTTTCGTATCCTAATACCTTAAAGACCTGACATTCAAATGACGAATTATTTTCACAATCAACTATGCACCATCTAAAGAATCAATTCTGAAAATATTGTGCAATAGCTTATAAGCACTTTAAACCTAATGCAATTATCCCAATTTGATCTGTGATTTAATATAATGTACATACTGGGCCTGGCTGTACAAAGCCTGGATATCGCTATCCGACGGATAAATCTTATCCAGTGAATAAATTCATTGGATAAATATAACAGCATCGACTTATCCACTGGATGAGGATTTATCCACTGGATAAGGAATTATCCACCGGATAGCGCTATACAAGAAGTCTACTACTGTAGATGACAGCTGTATGAGAGGCGACGGAGGATCCTAAAACAACTGAAAATATTACTAAATAAATATAGAGAACGTTAAACCCAAAGTATTTGTACAAACAGTTAGTTATTGAAGTTGTTAATAATTAATTCAAGACGTCTTTTAGCTCTTAACTTACCTGCAACAACTCTTAAACCAAGCAGTTCATTCGTATCAATACTAGCCTCCATATTCATGAAATAATGTATCGCAGAACCTATTGACTTTAAGCTCCTAAATACCAACACTTCGGGATTTGTTTCTACTTGTTGTGATAAAGAGTTTGGCATTAAAACAAGATACAAAACAAGAACACACGTAGCTGTCTCTTGAACACTAGAAAATTTGTACGCCATCATTGGGCAGGTGAAACTATGTACATAGATAATTAAACACTAAAAAAAACTAATTGTGCAAACCGTTACTAAATTTTCTCAAGTTCCTCAAAGTCCTACGCCGGCATAATTGTTATTTCAGCATCAAAACGCAGTTTTTTTCTGGTCATTATTTCGACTGTTCTCACTTCTTTCAGCCGACATCTTCGTTTTCCCGAGATGCAATGCAAAGCACACAGGTAACCCATAACACGTTCGTATTTTGAACGAGCTTTATAGCTCTTGGACGATACGTGTTTAAATAAATTATCGATTGACTGATTGATTGATTGATTGATTGATAAGGTATTGTCAATCAAAATCAACCACAAACAAAGTTCAGGATCATTTTCTCAGCACATTTTTATCTCGTATTGTGAACGATAATTTATAGATACTGTCCGGTAAACACCGTAGTGCGTACTATAGGAATACTGTCCGGTAAACACCGTAGTGCGTACTATAGGAATACTGTCTGGTAAACACCGTAGTGGGCACTATAGGAATACTGTCCGGTATAACACCGTAGTGCGTACTATAGAAATACTGTCCGGTAAACACCGTAGTGCGTA